CCCCAAAACCCCAAAACCCCAAAACCCCAAAACCCCAAAACCCCAAAACCCCGTTCAGAGTAAAAGTTTTTGAAAGCTATAAATCTATATTTGGTGACAACATGCCGAAGAATAAGAAGAAGAGTAAGGGAAAGAACCAGCAAAAGCCTAAAGAAGTAGAGCCTACCCCCACACAGGAGGAAGTAAAGCAAGAGCCTGTCATTGGAGTCCCTGTTGATGAGAGAATATCAGGTATGTCCCAATTAATTTGATTGGATATCTTAAAACAGTTCCTGATCTTTGAATATAGAAAAGAAAGATATCAAGAACGAAGCCTTAGAAGAGCTAAAAATAGGTAAACTTTTATTGATAGAACTGGATTTTCCTCAATACATAGCGTAATTGTTCAAAATGGGCAAGATAGTCTTTCTGATAAATTTTCTTCATATCTTTCACCAATAATATCCTTAATACTAATCTAGATACCAAAGCAGCTATTAAAGAAGAAGAGAAGAAAGCAGAAGAGAAAAATTCAAAGAAACCAATTAAGAGGAGGAATTCAAAGTTCTTGATGCAAGATGAGTGCCCTTCTCCTTTGTTAAGACCTGAATTCATCTACCACAATGAAGATAAAGCGAAGAAGATCTGGGAGCTAATGCAGACATACCAAGGAGTTGACCAAAAGTCTATCCAACGTTCAATTGTAAATCATGTTGAGTATACTCTTGCAATGACAAGATTCAATTTCTCAGATTTTGGGTGTTATCAAGCTACTGCGTTCTCTATGAGAGACAGGCTGCTCGAGTCCTGGAACGACACCAACCAATACTTCACTACCCACAACGTCAAGAGAGTCTATTATCTGAGTCTGGAGTTCCTGCTCGGCCGTCTGATGCAGAACACCCTCAACAACATCAACATGGAGAAGAACTACAGAGAAGCCTTGCTCGACATCGGCTACGATCTCGAGCGTCTGTACGATGAAGAGGTGGACCCGGCGCTGGGAAACGGAGGACTCGGCAGGCTGGCAGCATGCTTCTTGGACTCACTCGCAACTTTGGAGGTTCCTGCATGGGGATACGGAATTAGGTACGATTATGGAATCTTTAAACAAGTCATACGTGATGGTTACCAATGAGAAGTACCAGATTTCTGGCTCAGCGGAGGTAACCCTTGGGAGATTGAGAGACCTGAGGTTGTCTATCCTATCAGGTTTTATGGTTACACTGAGAAATATGAGGAGAATGGAGTTGAGAGAGCTCAATGGAAAGGTGGTGAAATAGTCATGGCCAAAGCTTACGATACTCCAGTCCCTGGTTACAATACATTTAATTGTAATAACTTGAGACTTTGGAAATCTTTACCAGCTCAAGAATTTGATTTCCAATCATTCAACAAAGGTGACTACCTCTCATCAGTTGAGATGAAGCAGAGGGCTGAGTACATCACATCTGTATTGTACCCAAATGACAACTCCCAAGAAGGTAAAGAGCTTAGACTTAAGCAGCAATACTTCTTCTGTTCAGCCACTGTTAGAGATGTCATTAGAAGATTCAAGAAGAATAATTCTGATTGGAAGGATTTCCCTAAAAAGGCTGCTTTACAGCTTAACGATACTCATCCAGCTATTGCAGCAGTTGAGTTCCTTAGGATCCTGATCGACGAAGAAAAGCTTGACTGGGGAGAAGCATGGAAGATTCTTCACAGCTCATTCTCCTACACCAATCATACTGTCCTCCCTGAAGCTTTGGAGACATGGAGTGTAGGTCTGATTTCCCACCTCTTACCAAGACACATGGAGTTGATCTTCCTCATCAATCATTACTTCATGGAAGATATTGCCAAGAAATATCCAGGGGATTACCAAAGAATGGAAGAAATGTCCATTATTGCTGAAGGAGATGACAAACAAGTTAGAATGGCCAACCTCTGTATTCTCTGTAGTCATAAAGTTAATGGAGTTGCTGAACTTCATACAAAGCTGATCCAAGAGACCATCTTCAAGAGGTTTCATGAATACTTCCCCAACAAGATAGAGAACAAGACTAATGGAGTTACTCCAAGAAGATGGATCCACTGTGCTAACCCTAAGCTCTCAGATCTTATCACTGAAGCATTAGAAGATTCTGAATGGATAGGAGAACTTGAGAGAATTGAGTATTTAGAAAATTTTGCTGAAGATGAAGAATTTGTTCAAAAATGGATAGATATTAAGAAACAAAACAAGGAAAAACTTGCTGCTAAAGTTAAAGAAGTTCTTGGAATTAAGATCCCAGTTAATGCTCTTTATGATGTACAAATCAAAAGAATCCATGAGTACAAAAGGCAACTCATGAACATCCTTTATGTCATTCACAGATATCTGACCTTAAAGGATATGACTCCTGGAGAAAGAGAAAAAGTTGTTCCAAGAGTGGTTATTATTGGAGGAAAAGCTGCCCCTGGTTACCATAACGCTAAAGCTATCATCAAGCTGGTCAATGCTGTAGGGGACATTGTTAACAATGACAAGGACATCGGCGACATTCTAAAGGTTATTTTCTATCCAAATTACTGAGTCTCAGCTGCCCAAACTCTTATTCCAGCATCTGAATTAAGTCAGCATATCTCAACTGCAGGAATGGAAGCTAGTGGAACAAGTAACATGAAATTTGTCATGAACGGATGCCTCATCATTGGTACCATGGACGGAGCCAACGTTGAGATCTCAGAAGAAGTTGGAGAGGACAACATGTTCATCTTCGGAGCAAGAGTTCATGAAGTTGACGATATTAGACACAGACTTTTTGCTGGTGAGCATAACCCAATTGGTAAAAGATTACAAAGAGTTTTCGATGCAATCCTATCTGGCACTTTCGGAGATGTGTCCATTATTCATCCAATTATTCATAGTTTGATGGATGGAAAGGACTACTACTTGGTTACAGAAGATTTCGACTCATATGTTAAAGCACAGAACAAGGTAGACGATACATACAGAGATCAAAAGAAATGGAACATGATGTCTATACTCGGGGTCTCAAGATCTGCTAAATTCTCTTCCGACAGAACAATTGAAGAGTATTGCGATTCCATTTGGAAGGTCGATAGAATACCTATCCCAACTCCAAGTGATTCCGAAAGAGTGAGATCCTTTTGCAAGGTCTACTCTGCTGCTAAAAATTAGAGAGATCAAGCCATTCTAGCTCTATTTTGGTTGCATATTTGAAACGAGTTCAATGCAAAATCCATTAAAAGGGGTTTTGGGGTTTTGGGGTTTTGGGGTTTTGGGGTTTTGGGG